AGAGTTTATATCCTTTATTTAAATTAATGTTTATAGAATAGTAATGATTATAATTAATATGAGAAATGTTAATCGATCTCCCGTGCAGCGCACGGGTACAATACTAGTAAATTAAGAATAGCTAACACGGAGTATGACTATTCAAAATTGAAATAGTCGAGTTCTGATATTTTGGAATGTAAATGGCTTATATCCAAGTGATCCAAAAATCCTAGTTATCAATTTATGTACAATTATTATTAATAAGTTTTTTCAACTCCACCAACTATTTTATAAGTTCAATAAATCATTTACCAGATGACTTACAATCAACTCAGGTATAGAATCATAAACACATATATGATCTAAGATACTAACATGTGCTCCAGCCAAAGCGTGAGCAACACGATTCGCAGATCGCTTACAAAAAGAGACAATAAAATTACTCTTTGTTTCCAGCATGCTCCTAATATCAACCAGAATGAGGTGCAAATAAGAAGTGTCGTCCCCCTTTTTGATCCCTTGAACCACTTGAAGAGCATCTGTCTCTACCTCCACTTTGGTCCACCCTTCCTCAGCCGCATAGTAAATAGCATCACGGACTCCCATAGCTTTCGTTTCCACCACTGTCCAATTTATTGATTCGGACACTCCCCTCGCCTTAATAAATTCCCCTTGATTGTCGTGCACTATCCATCCCCAAGCTCGGGTGTTGCTGCCTTGCCCGACCGCTCCATCTACATTTATTTTAATATAAACCCATCCTTTGGTTTCTGCTAAACCTTCTGCGCCGAAACATTTTTCCTCCTGGATCCTGTTTTTTCCTTTGCCAGCTCATCCCTCTAGCTCCCAACAACCACATTAAGGACCCATGTCGTACTTTGCCACTTGTCTTTCCAGACACACTCATTCCTTCTCTTCCATATACTCCTTAAAATGGCTACAAACCTAAATCAGGCTTCGTTGTCTACCACGCCCAACTGCTGCCATATCCACGTACTCGGTGGCTCTGTCTCCCGCCCCAGGCCGACCCCCCGCCTGTTGCCAAACCTTCTTGACCCCCCCCCCCCCCGCCACCCTGCCTGCACCCCTCTTTTCCTCAAATTATCCACCGTGGGCGATGATCTGTCAATAACCTGCCAGGCAAAATATTCGAGTTTCGCGGGCAAAGATATGTTCCATCGCCCGCGGTGATCTCCCTATAAGTAACCGGTAGCAACTTTTAACCGAAAAACCCTCATTCTTCTCCCCTTGTCACCAAAACCCATCTCTCTTATCCTCATTTAACAGATTATTTATTCTCTCCTTATTCCACCATTAACGGTAATATCTCTTAGAGCGGCAATATTCATATCTCTTATGCCAGTGATTTAGCAGAAGTGATTTTCCCCGTCCCTCCCGGCAACCATGCATCCGCCTATACCTGAACCTCCACCCCACTTCCCACTCTCCTCCGAATTATTAATAATAATTTTAATAAAAAAAAGTAGTGACACTAATGAGGGGTATCCCACCCTCCTCCGAATTATTAATAATAATTTTAATAAAAAAGTAGTGACACTAATGAGGGGTATTTACCCTCCTCCGAATGATTGGTCAATAGTTTCATTATTAGATTTAAATATTATTATTAGTAAATAATGTCACTATTAGATTAAAATATTATTATTATTAGTAAATAGTTTCATTATTATATTGGTAGTATTTGATCAAACTAAAAAGTGATGGTCCATATTGGGTATGCTTATGAACTTTTTGGGCTAGGAGAGTAACAGCCCGTTATCCGTCCACTGCTAGGAGTGGGAAGTTTTCGCTGCTCTGTTAAACCAGCCTCACGCAGTACCCTCCGATTTAGTAACCACGACACCTCAACTTTCGAGGAAAGGCCATGGCTAACTCTTAGCTTGGACCAGGCGGGCCGCTTTATACTTCCATGACCCAGCCCATCAGCAAGCCCAACGTCCCATCACCCTAATACTCCAACTTGGGTTACAAGTTCACGTTACTGAACTCAGTGAGCAGGGTTATCTCCAAGCGTATTATTAAGAACATAAAATGCTTCTCTAAATACGGTGTGGGATATGTATTACTCCGTATTAACGATTAATTGGCAAAAACCCAACGTACGGCTAAATCTCCTGAGCCTTTTCAAAAATAGTTTGTGAAAGAAGTACTCATTTCAGAGGCATATTACCAAATACGGAGTACTGCGTAATTAATAAAAGAGAGAATTTTTAAAATAAGATTAAAATAAGTATAAAATCCATTGATTTGGTTTTATTCTTTGACTCATTCACTCCTATTTTAACTTTTTATCATCTTAATCTTTTAGTAGATTAAATAAATTTTATTTGGAGAATAAAATATAGTTAACCTTATTTGTGAACTTTGTCTATTTTTTTTATCTTATATTATTAGGCAATTTGTATCGATAAAAATTGAATAACGACAAAGAAAACTTCTTAAACGTAATTTAGTGATACATTCCTATAAGAGGGAGTATTATTCCGGATGTTTTTTATTGAATTGAAACTTTTTGGTCTATTTGACAAATTCCGAACTGATCTGATCTAGTTTGATAGATATCTGTTAATGTGTATTATTCTATACTTGTTGCAGTCTAGTCTAATCTAGTCTGGTTTGATCTGATTAAGATTGGTCTAGTTCATTCAGGTTTGAAAATGAAACTAATCCCATTAAAAAGCATCCATAAATCATATCAATGTAAATTACAAATTATTGCATTTTATAATTTTTATGAATAAACAATATGGTATATCAAGGTCAAAATTTGGTCACCGACCCACTCTCTCGTATGGATGGTGTCGTATTCAAAATTCCATGGAGAGAATTTCAGTCATGTTTACCTCAAACTTTCCCCAGCCCCTCGACCTCGGCTAAATAATAATAATGATCGCAATTTGATAATCACCCATTACTAATTAAGAGGTAAGACATTTTAAGATTTATGGTAATATATCATGAGATTTTATAGCTTGGTTGATAACAATGTTGCTCGAATCCACTAAAATTGATGAAGTTCTGGTTGAAGTAGTTGAATTGATTGAATCTTAAATACCACGTATATTTTAAGCCAAAATAGCTAAAATGATCCTATACAGTAACTGCAGACAATTCAGCCAAAAAATAACTACAATCTTACTTATTTTGAATTTACTCCGTATATAATTCAGCGAGCGGGATAAAAAGTTACATAAAAATTTGATTAATAAGATTGATAAATCAAAAGATATGATCACCAAACAGACTGAATATATAATTAAAATTTGATTCATATGTACTTAGCTAAATTTGTGTGGATTTTTTTATATAACAGATTTCAAGACTTTTGTACGTAGACTCTTATTATGTCAAGTAATCTTTCGGCTTGAAAAATAATTTATATTTCCAAAGATTTTATAATTTTAGGAACGTGACTGATAGTTCAGGCTAGAAGTTACAATTATTATAAATTAAAAATTAAAAAAGGGTATTACTACTTTTGACATTTACTCCTTGTAATAAAGAAAACAAAATTTGAATGCAAATATTCATGGCACAAAGGGATTAGGGATACGAGTGCAAATATTCATGGCACAAAGGGATTAGGGATACGAGTAAAAGGAAAAGTCTAAAAAAAAATGCTCCCTCTCTCACATATTTTATCTCCTAAGTACAACAGGCACATGAATTAAGATAGAGGCACATAAATTAAGATATAGGGTATTGTGTGATAGAGAGTTGTGTGGTGCAAAAAAATGTGTAGAATATGTAAGAAATATTGTTAATAATAAATTATTTGACAAAAAGGAAAATAGAAGATAATTTTCTAACGGACGGAAAAAGAAAGTTTGAGGATTATATCGGGAGGGGAGGAGTGCTACCTACTATTTTTGGTATCCACAGCTTCCAATAAAGCTACTACTAATAATAATTAAAACAAATTGATACACTGGTTTGATTATACACTAGTCAATTAACTTGTGCGTTGCACAGGTAAACCTATTCACGAATTAACTTATTAATTGTTTTTATACACATTAAATAAGAAGTGATTTGAACTTTTTTTGTTAGTTCGAGAACTTATTTGTCCTTTTCCCAAACAAAAAATCTTTCGCAAGCTCTAGATGTAGGGGTGTATGCATCTCTCAAATCACACCAATCATTATTAGTAACAATTTCCATTCCCTAACATTCCAATTCAAGGTCAATGAATTAGTACAATAAAATCCTTTAATCAATGAGTAATGAGAGTCCTTAATAATCGGGTTGAGTGTCTCCTAAACGTTTTATCGGCCGTTTGGCTTTTTGGATTCACTTAGGGCTTGTTTGCAATCAATTAAAAAAAAGTGATTTAGGCTTTTTTTTTTTAAGAAAATAGCACTTATTTTACCAAACACTATCAACTTTTACTTTCTCGGTTTTCGTGTAGAATCTACTTTTTACTTTTTCTATTACACAAAAAGCACTTATTTTACCAAACACTACCAACTTTTACTACTACTCACTTTTTCCCAAAAATTGCTTTTATTTAAGCACAAGTGGTTGCAAACAGAGCCTTAGTACGTTCTTTGTTAAAATTAAAATATAGAAGTCTTTTTTAATACTGCCAACTTTGACTTGACACTTTTTTAGGCTTTGTTTGCAACCACTTGTGCTTAAATAAAAGCACTTTTTGGAAAAAAGTGATTAGTAGTAAAAGTTGGTAGTGTTTGGTAAAATAAGTGCTTTTTGTGTAATAGACAAAGTAAAAAGTAGATTCTACACGAAAACCGAGAAAGTAAAAGTTGGTAGTGTTTAGTAAAATAAGTGCTTTTTTCTTTAAAAAAAGCCAAAATCACTTTTCTTGAGTGATTGCAAACAAGCCCTTAATAAAGTAGAAGGTATGGTTGATTGGTTGTAGTTGACTAAAAAGTTAAATGAATGTAGTCACACAAACCTTTCCGAAACCGGTAAATGGAAAGAATTGTTTGAGACATCCCAAAATTGTAGGTGAAAAGAATTTTTTTGGGACGGAAGGAGAAATACCTATCAAACATAAAGATTAAAATAAAAAATTTATAAAAAAAAGCTGGAAATTGGAATTTATACCTATCAAACACATAACGATAAAAATAAAAAAATTATAATTTCAACTTGTAAAAAAGTCAGTTTCACTTTACGGGATTGGTTTATCCAAAAAATCGTAAACAATAAGCATAACCCTTTTCTGACCCCAAGAAAACTAGGCTAAAAAACACAATTAAAGTGCAAATTCCACCAGCTATGCACGCCAAATCCATTCTCTTTTCCTTTCTCCGCTTCATTTCCCTCCATTGCTTCTTACACACTACAAATGTTTTATACCTTTCCTTTTCTTCCCCTTCTTCTCTCTTCTTTCTTAAGCTTTCCATGGCTTCTCCCAAAATTACCATACTGTCCTTCCCATTCAAAACCTTCCCTTCCACGTCCTCCACCTGCATGCTCGCATCCCGCACGTACAACTCCCCTCCTTCCTTTCCCTCGCAAATGACTACCACACTGCACTGTACCGGATCCCCACCGTCTCCACCGCCGTCCACGACCGTGGCGAATCGAATCTTCATCTCTCCGGTCAGCCAGTGCCGCCGGAAGTTGACGGGCTTCAGGCTAGATACGTTCACGGCGCGTTTACTCGACGGGTCTATGAGAATCCAGCTCAGCTTCAAGTGCTCTTCCAGGTGGGCCACACACTTTCCGTCGTCGCCGTCGAACTTCACCGGCATGGGCACCACCGTCCCTTTCATGTTGAGAAGGTCAACTCTGAACGGAGAGGACAAGAACCAACTCGACACCGTCTCGGAAACGGTAACTTTCGAGTATATCAATCCTCCGCCGTAGAATATATCTACGGCGGAAATGAGCTCCGTAGTCCCCTGACCAGATTCCGGTCGGGGGACACGGTGATGAATTGTAGGGAATGCGTCGGAAAATAAAGAACGGTGACCGGAAGGGAGGGCGGAGATGGCGTCACGGACGATCGGGTTGGTGGTTGACGGCCAAGTCGAGTCGCATATTCGTCGCCAAAGATTCTCCTCGGAGCAAAGCGTGCGTAGTTGAGAAAAGGCGCAGCCGGCGGAGGCGAGCGTTGGGCCGTCAAGTCGGGTCAATATGTGGGTTTCAATGATCTCGGGAGGGACGGCGGCGATCGGCGTCCCTTCCGCCGGGACGGTGGTGGTGGTTGGGAAGGACATCATTGGGACAAGCGGATATACGAAGTATAATATAAGAGTTATTATAGTACGTACCTAGTAGAATGAATGTTATCAGGGTTTTGGAGTTGGCAGTGTTTAAATAGGGGTGATATGGTCAACGGATGAGAAGAAGTCAAAGCCGGCATGGCGGCATGTAGGAAAACGGGAGTAAATAAAAAGCAGCAGTCCAAAATAAATGCACACGTTTGACTGTTATGGACACGTCTAACGAAATTTTCGGAGTACTGTTACTTGGTGGCCGGCCCGATCAATAAAGCTTGCTCCATCCTACCTTGTTCGTTGTCACTCCCAATCAGTAGTTAATTGAGGGATAGTTATAATCAGTAGTTATGGATAGTTAGTTAATTGAGGGATGAAAGACTTAGAGATGGACGAGCAATGATGATCATAGCAATGATGATCACTGGCGGCGTGTAGATTACAATTCACGTGTGCTGAGTTAAATCTCTGATGCGTACGAGTAACAAAATCCATCATTATTGGATTGATTGAGTCACTGTGACTTACAACTGATGTATAACCAGAAATTCCAGTTATTGGGGGTACTTTGAGAATGTGTTTATAAGTAATACGTAGTACGTAACAAAATATTTTACGTATAAAAATTGTTTCTGCTTATAAAAATTGCTTCTATTCCTTCAATGGACATGAAGAAATATTTGGGGGAAAGTACAAAAGTAGAAGTAGATTTTGAGAAGTTGAGGGAGCCCAACGTCTGAAAAAGTAATTATGATTATGCTTCTGCCGTAAAAAAACAGAAGAAAAATCATTTCCTAACATCCCCTAATAATTCATCTCTAATTGATTGTCTTTCTTGGGTTTGCACGGTTATCAATTAGAAAAATTTCCACTAATATTACTTTTAAAAAAGTGGTTAACAAAAATGTGATTTAATAACTTTTAGTGCCTATAATTGTGTTCAAAGTTACTATGATGTAGTGATTATGATATAAACTTTGAATGCAACTATAACACTAATAGTTACTAAGTCACTTTTAAAATAGTTTACCTAGTCTTAAATTTCAAAATCAAATAAAGTTACTCCCTAATTAACCACGTCCAAACTAAATACATTTAAAAAAAATCAATCAAAGAACTTGGTATAACTCTTTTTTATGACAAGTGATTTGTGATCACAGAATGTTAAATAAGTGACATATAAACTCTAAAATAGATTTAAAAAATAGTAGTGGTGAAATATAATGGGGCATATAAACTTTTTAACGGGGGCACCAAGTAAAAATTGTAAATACTATAGGCCTAAATCAAATTTTATCGAGGACATGTGCCCCATTGACCAAAAGGTGTATCCACTTAAGAAGTTATGGGGTGTTTGGAAGTGATTCTGCTTCTCCTTCTTTTTTAAAGAAAAAGCAGAATCAGAATCAGTTTTCAGAAGTTGGTACCCCCAACTTCTAAAAAAACTGATTTTGCAAGTAAATTAGAGCACTAGAAGCGCTTCTGGAATTTCACTCAAACACTCCAGCTTCTGTTTTTACTCTTTGAAGGAGCAAAATCAGTTTTGAGAATTAGATCGAAACACCCCTATAACTTCTCAAATGTTTTGTTAGATTAAGGTGTGGGGCTCTTGGAGTTTGGGGATGAGATTGTTCAAAGTCAGTTCCAACTAAGAAAACACTTTAATGGTTCATACTTCATATCGTTTCTTTCTAACATTAAACAAATTTCCGCCATCTAATTCCCTTATTCCCCCATTATTAAAAACTGCCCCGAGTCAAATGTACAAAAAAATTACATATGTATATAAAATATAAATATTATCACATGCATGCATCGTTTGATTCTTATAAAGTTGTTTTATTGCATTTTTCATGAATCAAAAACAAAAACAGCAAGACCAAATAAGTTATGATATTTCTCATCCAATATGGTGAAGTTTTTTCATCACGCACGACCTACAAGTTAGTGTGGGCGCGACATACGCCATAGAAAATCCAACTATATTTCCCCGAGATTGTGTTAAGGTAATAAATAGAACCCCCCAAAACAAACCCAATGTATACAGTACACAATACTAAAGTCCAAGCTTTTGGTAATCAAATGCTCCCCACACTAAAATTAAAAGAACTTTGCAGTGATGAAAAAATCGAACGATGCAAAAGCTTCAAGCTTGCACAATGGATCCCATGAGGATTAAGGATTAGAAGAAATATTTTTTCTAATCCCACATTGATGGTCCACCCAGTCCAACTTCATCAACTGCTGTTAACAATTGCAGTGAAGTGGGCCCATTACTTTGTTTGTTGTTCTGCCTTTTCTTCTTGGCGTGAGTAACTGATCCCACAGTTTCATCAACACTCTGACCAACTCCAGGATTATCACTACCAAAGGAATTAGCTGGTGCATCATCGGTAAAAAGATTCATAAAAGGTGTCTCTCCATCATCAAATGCCGGTGTTTTGGGCTTCGAGGTTTTCCGGGTTCCAATTACACTGTCATTGTTAATAATCCTTCTATTCTCTAACTGATCCATCTCATGATCAGAAGCTTCCTCTACAACTGAATTCTTTTTATTCTCATTCTTTGATTCTCTTTTCTGCTTTTTAGGCTTTGATTCTTTCACATCACAACCACCAACATTTTCGCTTTGAGAAGAATGTTTTCGAGAGTTGTTTCTTGGAAGACTTATCGTTTCCACATTCTGAACTATGTCAACATCATGAGAGGTATTAGCTCTTCCCAATTCTCCCTTCAAGATTTTGCTAATGGGTTTGGCATTAAAAACCACCAAATTCGGCACTAGTTTCTGAATCTGCTAAAATACATACTCATGAGCACATTGCAAGCTCTACACATACAAATCACATAAAATGTGCAGAACTTACCTTCTTTACCAGGCCGTCCTTTTCAGCAATGGGATTCCCGAGAAGATTTAAATTTTTCAGGTTAGTTAGTGAAGAGAGAACCTATGATCAAATGTAGTCAGAATAATGAGGAATAATCAGAGTTAGATATCAATAATAACATTTGAGTAAGGTACATTTTTTAATTTTTAGTCAACTCAATCAAGGTACCAGCTTTTAGAAGTTATGAATGGCCACTTAATTACACTCCAAAAACTTAGTTCTAAGACTATTTGGTATTATTGGGTTCACAGGAATATCACTTCAAAATTATGGGTACCTTACATTCTTAAAACAGGAAGTTCTTTGGGGACACAGTAATATTGGGGGGATGAAAAAATTGCAATCTACAATCTAAAATAAGATGCCTACCTTAAGATCAGACCACCTCAGGATCGCATTATTTCCCAAGTCCAAGTTTTGCAATTTGTTATTGCAAGCCAACTCACTTGGAAGTGTCTGGAAATTGAAGATCGTATGTTATTGCTAGGATGGTGAGTAAGATGAGTCAAATCAGTCAATGGAAAAGCATAATTGATTAAGTTAGAAAAAACCGTGATCTCATGATGAGAGAGTCGCAATTCTTTTAACTCGGTGCAAGATTTGAGCGAAGAGCCAATAAGTTGCAGCTGGCAGTTTGAAAGGGACAACTGCAATAATAGCTGGCACTTAGGAAACAGATGCACAGAATAAGGTAATGAATTTTAGTGATCAATAAAATAGGAAACTGCTTACTTTTGATACTGAATTCCTTTTAGCAAGTGATAGACCTATATCTCGTATTGGATTCCTTGAAAGAACTGCAGAATGATGCCAAAATGCAAGTACACGAGTTCAATATTTTCACCTTATAAGGAAAAGGCAATAGAGAGAGCGATTAACATCTTTTTGAAGACCTAAAAATAGTTTAGATTTTTCAAGATATCAATCGAAAACCAAAAAAATCCCAAGCATTGAAGCAAGTAATTTGAATATGAACTGCAGTACAAAATAATCCGTAAGCCACACCTACAGTGTTCAGGTCTTTCATTTGGTCAAGTTTACAAATAGAACTGATCTCATTATCTGCACAAGGAGAAAGGTTGGAAAATGAGGAGGTTAGTTGATCCAGAAGAAGCATTCATTTCATGGCAAATAGAAGTTAAGATGAAAAGCTTACCATTCAAGATCAGTGCACACAAACTTACAAGAGAATTAAGCCCGTCCACTGATTTAAGCTTGTTTTTTGCAGCATTTAGTACCTGGTATGATTAGGGACAAAAGAAAGTTTTAAAAGAGGCTACCTTCTTTTTCTCGTTTAAGTTTATATAAACCTAACAGATGAGTTATCAAATACTGAAGTTATTCGAAAGGCCTGAAGCATAACTACATTCACAGAACAACTTTCCAGTAAACAAATAATTATGCTGAAAAGGACAAGGAAAGAATGTTAAAGAATCCAATTCATCATTACAGCAAGGTTGATTATGAAAAGAATTATCAGACTCTTAATCAAGAATTAAAACTCACACAGGCCTCAAGGGGCCAGAGTTCAAGTCTCCTGGAAATTCAATCATAAACAAATACTATAATTGGGGAGGGTAGTTCAAATGTCCAATAAAGGGCATATATTTCATGGACAGTCCATGAAACCTTTATTCGTTCAACAATGAAGAGACTGAAGTAGTTGAAACTATGCTTCTTTTCATATAAAACAATAAATAACTAAACCTAAGTACCTAACTCAGGGAAACAAACTAAAAGAAAAACACAGGAAAAAAAACTTAGTTTTGGTTATATTACTTATATATATGACGCTTACAGTAAGTTTAACAAGGCATTCAATCCCTTCCAAACTCTGAAGCTTGTTCTGGGCTACAGATAACCACTTCAAGTTTACGCATGACCTCAACCCCTAAGACCCATTTCACCGAAAAAAAGAGGTCAAATTCTATTTGAAGAAGCACCAGACAAGATTAAATTATAAACGGAAGACGAGGCTAATAAATTACCTCAAGGGAAGTCAGGCTGTTGAAGCTAAGGTCGAGCCTTTGAATGTTCTTGAACGCGTCCAAGCACGATACCTGTTTTTAAAATAAAACAAATGCGAATGAAGGTTTTCTGAAGTGTAAAGCTGAAAAATGTTAGAAATCGGCTGTTTTGGAGGAAAGTTACGTCGGAGAGAGCCTTTGCGGTGAGTGCCAGAGAAGTAATGGAATCGGAATCGCTGGTGTTGCTCTCTTGCAGCACCTTCTCCGAGCTCAGCACAGCCATGGTCGGAGATTTTCTTAGCCTGTTAGCTGCTGCCCAACTGGATTAGGGTTTTCGTGTGGAAACCTCTGCTTTTTATGAAATAGGAATGCGCCTGCAAATCCTTAATCAGGACAGATAAATGAAAGAACTTATTTTTAGTTAAATAAAACTGCTTACAAACTATGTCACCAGCTTCTATCTGGCGTTGCTGGATGCACTTAAAAGAAGCGTGCTGCACGTCCAGTGTTCGAAGCTGGTATGAGGATGATGATGAATGATGATGATGATGAATTTGTGGTATTTTAAAATACCACTTTTTAATTTCTTATTTTTTCATCTTGCAAGCTATATATCAAAATTTCATTCTATTATTACTTCTTGTAGGCTGTAGCTCTAAATTAATTACCCATTTTCCTTTTTTATCGTTCTCAACATTATTACCAATTTCTTTTAAAGAAAAATGATACTTGGTAGTCCATATTACTTCATTTGTTCTTTAATTATTGCAACAATGTGATTTTTATATCAAAATTTCATTTTATTATTACTTCTCGTAGCTCTAAATTAATTAAATCAACATTGTAATTTTTGCATTATTCACACACCTTACTTTGACCACGATTTTTTGCTAATATACATAATCAAATTATTAGTTATAAAATGTTATTAAATTCCTATTAATGTGTAATACTTGTTTTATGTTTTACTTTCTATAGATGTTTCTCAAACTATTAATAAATCATTGTGTTAATTAGATGGATCTTGTCCGAACTCAATTTGTAAATGATAGTCAAGCAGTAGAAAACTAATAAGAACAACGGAAATGCAATAGTAGCAAGAGTTGGCTGGACAAAAGAATCAGCTCACCTTCTTTGTGACCTCTGCATGAAAAATGTTGAAAGAGTAAGGAAAAATGTTCATATTTAAGAGTGCATTCATCTCTAAGAAGTTGCATTGGAAGGGCTTTGAGAGTTTTCAAAGCGCGATGGAGAATATATTGCAGTGTAATAAAGTGAAATGTTGTGGACCACATATTTATTTCCAAAAATGGAAATGTGACACTTATTTTGAGATGACCCAAAAAAGAAATGAAGACAGGTAAAATGGGACGAAAGGAGTATAAGTTTTTAAGATATATTATCCTTTATGATGAAGTGGTAATTACTATATCGATCATGGTGACATTAATATTTAATTACATTTTTCATTTTGTTATGGAAATTTTCTCGGTATATTTTTACTTACATCTCCATTTATTAATCAATATCATTGACGAGGCGGCCGGATATCACTATTGGTTGGTCATCGGGGTCGGGTTGGTCACTGAGATTGGGGTGGTCTGGGGGAGGAGGTTACCGTAGTCGGGATGTCACTAGAGTTGAGTCACTAAGTGTTGGTAACTGTGGCATTGGTAACTGGCTATAAAGTCACTGTGTCATCGGTCATTGAGAATGTAGTCACTATGACATAGGTCACTGTAATGCATTGGTCAATTAGGTCACTGTAACGCATTGGTCACTGTGGCGGACGAACATTGGTCACTGGATGAGCGGGTGTTGGTAATTCAACGGGTGGACATTGGTCGCTGAGCGGGAGTGAGTGTCTCAATTGATCACTGGACGGAAGTTACGCTGTCAATTGGTCATTGAACGGAAGGAAGTCAGAGTGTAAATTTGTAATTGAGATGTTTGTCATTGAAGCAATAGTAACTGAAATGGTAGTCACTGGAACATTAGTAACTAGGTCGGGATCACTAGAGTGATTATATCTGGAACAATTTTCACACAACTTTTGGTGTAATAATTTAAATATTTAAATTATCTTGAGAAATAACATTAAAATAAAAACACAAACCATTAATTTTAAAAATTGCAATGTTAATTTTGAAAAAAAAACGATTGCAATATTAAACTTATCAATATGACGGCATAAATTTATGATGTAGTGCATTGCTAAAAAACGGTTATGCACTTACGGAGTGTATTGCTAAGCAGCACTGAGAAATTTTGACGGCTTAAACTTCCGAATGCAGCGATCACGAAGGGCAGTTTAGACATCCAGGTGTTTATTAGTCTGGAAACTAAAAGAAAATCACTTTTTTGTCGATTAGCCTTTTTTTAGTAAAATTAATGACAAAACCCCAATAATCAATAATTGAGATTATTAACAACGGACCAATAATAGTTGCGATTATTACAAAATTGTCCAATTTTTTTTTCCCCGATAACAGTTGGGAGTATGAGAGTTTCCATCCTTCCCTTCTAAAACAGGATTATTGCAAAGTACATACCCTGTTAGACCATTTGGAGTGGTGTGAGAGTCTAAATGTCAAAAATGGACTCCGTCCATATGAAAACAGTGTTTTAACTCATATTTTCATGAATTCCAGCACTGTCCATAAGATACACTCTACATATTTTTTTACATATCAATTTAGTAAAACATTAATTAAATTATTATAAGTAATTTTTTTTTTTTAATTTATTTCCTGAATAATTATGAAATAAAAACACACATTTCGATTTCTTTTAATTTTATAATAAATTATTAAATAAATTTTATTATTTATGTTTTTAACATTTTTCGGTTAACAAAAAATGAACTTAGTTCATGTAAAGTTTGATTACGGAATATTAAGTTATTTGTGAAGGCTACATGAATTAAAAAATTGTGTTTTGATTTTTCTTGGGCTCATGAAAACTTCAACAGTTGAAATTTCAGATTTTGTTTTCATTTTATATATTGCATATTGGTGTCATATGAAAGAGTATAAAAAGTTATGAATGTTAATATTTTTTTTTTCTAAAATTTGATTTTTTTTATGGAACTAAAATTTGATTTATAAAAGACAAATTATAACAATTTCAAAAAAGATGGAGTTTTATTTTCTGGAGCCCACTTGTACCCACCACTCATAATTCCTTTATTTTTGGCAAAGTAGCACTCTAACGTCAATCGGCCGGCTAGAATTGGACTCCCCCCTCCTCATCTCCATTTTTAACCTCCTAAAATACTCTCCAATGTAAGAAATTAAGAGTCCAAAATCTCCATTTTTAGCATTTTAGACGCCTAATGTCTTATCACTACAAATGGTCTTACAAATTTGAAAACAAGTGTTTAAGGCATAAGTGCATAACATCACTTTTACCCCAAATTTGTAAGTTTTTTTTGTACTGGTAACTTTGTTCCTCTAAAATATCCTGACCAAACGGATTGCAGGAAGCTACCTCATCGGCCTCCGCATATCGGTAAGTGAAAATGAGTTATGCTTCAGCCATTTTTTCACAATTTCTGCAACCGGGATTGTGTCCCTACTCTCCCAGCCGGCGTAGTTTTAGTTCAAGAATCCCAGGGGCTGTTTCTGTCCTCAAATCATATATTCCTGGTACTCCTCTCTTATCGCCCTCATCTTGATTTTCATTTTAATTATAGTATTCATGAATTACAATCCTGGGTTCCTTAACAAATTGTCAATAGTGAGCGGGGTTGATGAAGACTATGTTTTGAGAGACTTCTTGAAGGAGAGAAAGTTGAATGGAGACTTCATAGCTAGAATTTCTGATAAAATTTGGCTAAGAGACGTTGCTAACGTTGAATATACAGAACCTGAGACTGGACCGACAAATAACGTTCAGCTATTGGAGGAGGTAGTGAATATATATAGATACTTGCTTTCAATTTCTGATGTTCTTCAGCGTTTACTAAAGAAACTGTACGGTTAAAACGAAATTGCAGGATTTAGGGGAAGGAAATGAAGGTGGGTTTTTGAAATTTAAGAGCACCAGAGCATGGCTCCTAGGTGAGGCCTCACCACCTGTTAATAAGAAGAGAACCTTTAAGGTATATCAGCAAACTCTTTCCTTCTAAATGGAAAAATAAGATATTTAGGCTCTCTTTGTTTACAGGAATATATTTACTGATTCTCCTGTGTTTTAGGACAGGAAGTATTCTCTTTGATTCTTTGGGTATGTTTGGATGAAGAAAAATGCTAGGGAAAGTAAAAAAATGCTATGGAAGGTTATTTTCTTATGTTCATTTTTACCCTGGAAAATACAAATAAGGTGAAATATGTGTCTTTTCTTCTTCAATTACATATATTAAGATTTCTTAGTCATTATATCATAGGCACTAGAGACATCAATGAATACAATGAGTTTCAACAAATAAGTTTTTTTTTGCGAGAAAACAAATAGGGGTTTTATTAGTCTTGGTTTTTATTTCGCCCCACATTTTCCTTAGCACTTTCCCGGATCCAAACTGCCCCTTGTACTTTTGTGGAAAATGATTTCTTGTTTGAGAAATGGGAAATTATTTCCTGAAGCAGCTTTATATTTTCTTTATCGGTCAAACACAATTCCGACCTCAAAATCTTTTGGGAATAAGGCTTGGATGTTGTTGGTCAAACACAATACGAAGTACTATACAGATCAACTTATTTTCAAGGAAAACATTTTTCATAAAAGAATTTCGGCAGCAAGTTAATAAGTTAATTATGTTCCCGGAAACAAATGGAGCCTTAAAAACTGATTTCAGTAGAACCTATGATCACATATTCACATTTACAGGAGCTACAAGATGATAGTGTCAGACGGAAAATGCTGAACTTTCTCAGATATGAAGCTGTATGTTCTCTATGAGACTCACATCTATCATAAATACCTGGATTCTAGTGTCACACTGTCACTGTTCATATAAGGTCTATGAGGTATCTGAGTTGCCTAGTAATTTGACAATTACATTTTTTGTTTGGCTTCACTATTGAAAGAGATATCAGAAACTAAGAAGTTCTGCTGAATGATAGTCCTTAAGATGTTTACTGTGACTTCAGAGTACTTCATTGTTTCTTCAAATGTCTCATTGTTTCTTCAGCTGTATCCATGTTTTCTTCACTACTGTAAAGGATTCCAGAAACTAAGATCTTGTTTGGTTGTAGAGTATTGGAGGGGAGAGAGGAAAGTGAACGGGAGTGGTGTGTGTTTGGTAGGAAGAGTCAGGGCCTCAGGGGGGAGGGAAAGGAAAGTGGAGAAGCTATAAAATCCCCCATACTCCTCAGTCCTCAATATCTCACTCTCCCATTTTGGAAGTTTTTTTCTTAGTATATTGGACCTATTTTTACCATAATTATTTTACTTTATTATTCAGATTTTAATGGATGTAGATTGTTACAGCATGTAGATTGATACATATATTCATACATACATTCTGATTTTATATATATATATATATATATATATATATATATATATATATTATTTATGTATAATTGTGTATATATATAATATGTATTTATATATAAATAATATGTTTATATATATATTATGTGTGTGTGTGTGTATATATGTACCACAAAATATTATCAAATATTCATATATACATACAATA